TTACCACATCCAAAACATTCTTCCTTTTTTTTTTATGAATGCATAGGACTTAGCCTGACGAAAAGTAAATGCTGTATGTACTGAAAATATCCACAGCTCATGAATTACAAAAATAACATACTATTGAAAAGTAGCTTGTTGGTTGAAAATGCCTACATCCTTGTAAAAACATGACTGTCTTCTTCATCCAGAAAGCAAAGATGACAATTGTACAAGTTTAATATTGCAAATTGAGAAGTACGTAGTAGGACACCTGCAACTTTTTACCAGGACTACAGTTAGGAGACTGAGGTCTATAATTGCAGAAGTAGAGCTAAAAATATTTCTTATATGCATACTTCTTTCAAAACAAATTAACACATGTTAATTTGTTAAATTAACATTAAAACAAACAAATTAAAACAAACAAATGTTTTAAATAAGATTCAACTTATGTTTTCCTGTCACAGGACACAATTTCACTATAAACCATTCAGTTGTATAATGGAATTGTGCAGACAATAACCTTTTCAGGCAGGTTGCTCCCAAATATCTGTTGAGGTAGGAACTCCTTTGAATCAACATTCAAGTGCTCCAGGTGTTCAGCAAAGAGTAATGTATTCTAACAACTTCCCAGCTTAGGGACCAGCCACATAATCTGTGCAGGTGCCTATATGTTTTGTAATACTTCCAAATCTTCCCATAGAATCTTACACCTTTTCACCAACATTTTATTAGATGTCTTATTGTGAAGGCACAATAAGACATCTAATAAAATTTCAAAGATATTGTAATCTTGATCTCATGTAACATAAGGAAATGATGGTTGTGAAAATTCTCGGTTATCCAGGGTGCTTTTTTTTCAAGAGGCAACTGGACTTTCTGTTTTTTCTTTGAAGACATTTCGCTTCTCATCCAAGAAGTTGCTTCAACCATTGATTGATTTATTGATTTATTGATTACATTTATATGCCGCCCTTTTCCCCGAAGGGGACTCATCCAGTCAGAACTGAAGAAGCTTCTTGGATGAGAAGCGAAATGTCTTCAAAGAAAAACCAGAAAGTCCAGTTGTCTCTTGAAAAAAGAAAAGCATCTTTGGGATAAGGAAATGATGTTAAGATGAGTAAATCTTGAGATCAAATAATCTCATTAATTTCAGTTTTAATTTTTCTATTTGTTTTTATAAAACTCACACAGCAAGCAAATATAGGTGCATGCACCTGCTATAATCCTTGAGTGTGACATGCATTTTCCCCTTGATGTTATTGGATTCCCAATTTAGCCATTTCAGTGCCTGGTTAATAGTGAGAATTGTACCTAATTATTTCTAATAAGCTATATATCTGCAGCTGTTCATCTTCTCAGATTAATTGCTCTCTTTCCTCATCCTGAAAAGCTGTTTCTTTGGCTGACACCGGCTCCAAGCCTTTTTAAAAAATTACCATGGATTTAATTTCTGGGAGATTCAGTTTGGTGAAGTGATTAAGGCAGCATGATAAAAATCAAGAGACTGTGAGTTCTAGTTCTGCCTTAACCACAAAGTCAGCTGGATGGACTTGGGCCAGTCTCTCTTTCTCACCCATAGGAAGGAGGCAATGGCAACGAAATCTTCTCAAGAAAAGGGCTTGTTTGGGCAGTTGCTGGAGTCAACACTTTTGAAGGCACAATAATACTTATTTGGTAGGAAATTGTAACCTCTTTTGGAGACTTCTAAGTTGAGGAAGGCTAATTTATGAATAATTAATTTATGTTCATAATATCCAAGTTAGCATTTGCTATTTTGTTGTGCTGTACTTTTTTTTTAATGTGTTAGGTTTTTCTTTAAAAATATGAAAATTTTGCTTTATCTATAATTTTATACACCTTTGTAATGATCCGCTAAGGAGGTATTTCAAGGAAATTGTAATCCTTCTCTAGGAAAGCATCAAAGTGGATATGAACAATGGACATAATAGTAATAAACTGCACTGATCATCTTGCTGAAGAAGATAAATCATGTACATCCAGGCGATACAGAATGGTAGGAGTAGACTGGCTTTCTATAAAATATAGACCAAAAGGAACTTAAAAAATATTATTTTATCCTAGACTGGAACACAGATCATGCTAAGCTTTGTTGTGTATGAACTCAATCTCTGTGTTGTATAAAAGCATGACATGACATGACTTAAAAATGTGCTATCACTTGATAGCACATTTTTCAACAATTTAACAATGGAATGGTTTAATGTAGAGACACACTTCTGTGTTGCAAAATAGATGTAAAGACATCTAAAAAGGGCAATGGCAAACCACTTCATTCTACTCATAAGTATATAGTTATAGACTAATCAATAAAACTATTATCCATTATCTATAAGTCCCTGCATAAAGTTTGGAATTGTAGAAATTTTGCACAATGCTGTTCTAAAGAAGAAAAACTTTTTTGTCTTTTGAAATATCAATAGGTATTACTAATATACTGTCAAGCCTAATTTTAGAAATATAATTACTGGACATGTGTGTGTTGTTTAAATAAAATATTGTAATTTTGCTGCCACTGAAGACAGGGCATCATCCCTGCAATATTAGTCTGGTCACAGATAAATGAAAGTAATAATTTAAATACAAGATGCGCAAATGGAAAGATCACTAACGACTTATTAGTAATCCTGTCAGACTTCCAGATACTTTTTCTATCCAATCTACCAAATCTACAGACTGTACACTATCAAGATTCGGTGCTCATGAGCATGACAGGTGAATAAGAGCAGGAGCAAACAGAACTGCCAGCTGGAATAACAAAAATATTACAGATTAATAGACACCAGATGCTGAAGAAGACTTCAAAGGCAGCTGTCACTGAACAGCAAATATTAGGAAGGTCAATCAACTGTGAAGAACTAAAATTTCATGCACCAGAAAAACATTTAAAACTTCTTCTCCAAGTAAATGTTCAACAATATATTGAGAAGGCTAATAAAGGATTTTATTTGGATAATGAAAAGTAAAGAATTACACGTTAGGTAGAAAATATCATGCAGCATTTTCTTAAACAATACACTTGGTACATCATGCAGCATTGTACATAACTGATAATAAACAAAGTGGCAATAATGAACAAACAGAACATAAAAACCACTTGACTGAACAATTTTGTCAAGGCTTTCAATAATAATGGTTTATACAATGTGGTGCATCGTTCCAGCTATTTCCCCTTCTTTTTCCCAGTATCATATATATTTGTACATAGAAAGATAACAAACAATGAAACAGTTTCACCACTAACTTCCTGTTCTTCTACGCCTTGCTACGCCTATAGGTTCTGCAAAAAAAAAAACTTTAAAAAAAAAAACAGTTTCACTTAGTAAAGCCACTGCTATAAAAAGATTTAGTAAGAATTTTTTTTCAATAACTGAATAAAGCAATCGATTTTGAAAGCATCTAATATTGCAGATGAGAAGTTTTAACTGCAGTTCCAGACAGTTTTTGGGGGGAGTTAAACTCATGTAACCTAGCTGTACCAGAGTTTTCAAGTTTGAAGCCTTTACATTGGGCCACTGATCTAGCAATTCCGGTTTTATCCACTGTCCACATGGCCCTGGCCCTCATCTTGATTGATGCTGCCTTATTACACTGTTGTTGTTGTTGTTGTTGTTTGCTTTAATCTTGGCAGCCACAGAATCAAAGAACCACCCCCCCTTCCAAGAAGGACAATTCATCATTATGCCTATGGCAGTTTTTTATCCTTGCACAGCAAGGTCAGATTCTGTTAAGGCAGAGTGGGAGGGGGCTTTGGGGGCCCAGCTATAGTGGAAGGGGGAGGGATGCAAACTGGAGGGAGCTGATTTGTTGAATTCCTTCAACTATGTTAACCATGTTGGGGCTCTTCCATGACATGACTTATATTGATTTCTTATGTGTCTAAAAATGATGGGAAGTTTCACGTAATAATGCCCAGAGGTTACCAGAGATTGAAACAGTGGATTTAGTTTCAGTAAACAAACAAAGGATTTAACATTGTATACTTATTTTTGTTAGGAGCAAAAGGAATAGGTGACATGAGGGTGGAGGTTGGATAAAGGTCAAGTTGTCAGAAGAAAGATAAAGGGTTTGTGTAACAAAAGAAATTGTGTGGATTATAAAAAATAGCAGACAGAACTGTCACTGTGTTGTGTGAGCAGCATTGGAATTAATTAAATGCCATCAAGCTAGGTTCAGCTCTTGAACCCAGTATGGATATATGCTTACCAAGTTGATTAGTGTCTGCTAATATTTTGTAGCTGCCAAGTACAATCTTGCTATTCATCTTATCCTTGTCTTTCCTTTCTTTTTCTAGCTTCAATCATGCTGACCATAATCAATTTTCCAGTCTATCAAATGCTTATATCACATGTCCAAAATATGTGATTTTATGCTTGCTAATTATTGCCTGAAGAAAGCAACTGTCTTTATTTGATTCCAGACTGATTGCTTGATTTCTGGATAGTCCAATATCCAGATTCATACTTCAATTGTATCTCTTGCTCATTCTCAATTTCTAGCTTTTATGATTATATACCAGTATTTGAAAATCCTTTGACTTGCTGTTTTAATCTTTGTTATTGTTGAAATGTCTTATCCTTCATGATTTTATTGAGGTTTGCTGTTGTCTTCATTGATACATTCAATCTAATATTTACTTCTCCATCTATCATCCTTCTTTAACCCTTCTAAGTCTTCTTTTATTTTGACTAATGAAGAGGTGTCATTCACACATTTCAATTTGTTAGTATATCACTCTTAACTATCATCCCACTCCATCCTGCTGTTCTCATATTTCTGCATAAGTTAAACAGAGATAAGCATAATATCTATTCACTATTTTTTCTGTTCTTTAGTTTTCTTAATTTAACTCTATCTGATACCAGTAAGTTATGATCTGTTCCACAGGTAGTTCTTGAGTTATGGCCACAATTGGGGCCAGAATTTCCATCACTAAAGTGTAACATGATTATATTGCTTAGCTATAGCAATCCTGCTATATTTGCTTTTTGTGGGGGGAGGAAACTTTCACTTGTTATGAATAACACTGAGAACAGGGCACATTTCTTTTCTGCTTTTTTCAGAAAGAGGCTGTAGGCAATCTACATGCACTCCAGTTAATGCTTGGAGCAGACAGCTCTTATCCCCTTTTCAATTGTCCTTGTCCATTGCTCAACTTTTTTTTTCTTGGCACACCAAATACTGGTTCATCCAATCATAAAAGATCTGCTTCTTTTTAGTTTTACCCAGCCTTATCCAGGGATTTCTGTGCATCTAACTAAAGGCAAATGAACTTTTCCATAATGAGATATTCTTTCAAAAAAAAAATAAAAAATCCCCACCTTGGAAATCTTAACTAAAGAGAATCCTTCTCAGTTTTTTTAGAAGTGGGATCCTAAGTGGTCCGAAAGGAGAGCTTTCCGACTGGTTGCGTTTTATTATACAAATGCAGGAACGGAGTTGGGAAGGCAGCGAATCCTAAAGGATGTAAACAGAAGCGCCGGCCAACCTTTCAACCGCCTGCAGGGATTCTCAAGTCGCCAACGCTCTTCTTACCCGGTGAGATGAAGCTCTCTCGGGGAGACCGAATAGGAACGAAAAAACAGCGGAACAAAAGGTAGTTTACCCCGCGCGGCCGACCGGATGCAGTTCGGAGTTGCTTCTGCTGAAAGTGAGGATCATGGAGCCGCGGCTGCGAGTATTGGAGTTATACAGCGGGGTCGGAGGGATGCACTATGCGTTGAAGGGTAGGTTTCTCCTCCGAACCGCACAGGTATTCGGGTCCCGCCTCCTAGGCATGTTTTTCATGGCTTGGCTTCCTGGTGGCAAGGACACCTGCAGTTGCAATCTAAACTATAGGAACCAGTGCATTGCAGAAAATGAATCTTATGCTTAATGTAGAGGGTCATGGACGTTTAAATGATTAGCCCTTCACCACCAACCGATTTTATTCTCCGAAAAGGTAATTCCAGCTTTTGCTTTGTCTGCAAATTTCTGACTTTTCGATTTACTGCCTCTTCAAATCAAGTGTGGTTTCTGGCAAGTGCCTGGGACAGGTGCCTGCAGTTTTCTTGATAGAATTTAGAGGGCTTTGCCCTCTGATTCACGTGGAGGAACAGCTTCAGGCAGCTCAGGTCCTGAAGCACTCCTCTCATCTGGCTACAGCATGCTCTCTGGGAAATTCTCTCTGGGGCGTTGAAATCCATTCCTTTAAAAAGTGCTGAGACTAAGAAAAAAAAATATTCTGGGTCTCCCTGGCCAGCCCTTGTTTTGACTGCTAGAGAGTGTCACTTGACAGCTAAAATTTTCTTTTAGACTTCAAAAAAGGATGCGAAGAATGATCTTATGGAATGCAAATAGTATGCCAAATAATCGGAGGGAATAAATCAACAATCGCCATCACTTTTAGGTGGGTTTTATCTCTTGAACAGTCTGCTGCCATCCTCACCTGACCTGGAACCAAGTGCTTTTTAGGAAGCTTGGAAATAAGGGCAGGATTCCTGCCCTTATGATGAAGGATCTATGTTGAAGGAGGGGTGGAGGCAGGGGTGGGTTTCAACCGGTTCATGACGGTCCCTGCGAACCGGTTGGTCGCCGAACCCGGAAGTAAGTAACTTCCGGGAACGACGAAGGGCGCGCCCGCCCGCCCGCGGTCCTTACCCGGTTTTGACGAGTTCTGCACTTCCACGCATGCGCAGGATGCATACAGCGCCTGTGCGATCGTGCAGGAGCAGCTGGAGTGTCGCGCAGATGCTAGTACGCATGCATGCACCGCACGTGTGCACGAGGACACCGCCGGCCCTGTTCCAACCGAACCGGTTGGAACGGGGCGAGAAACCCACTCCTGGGTGGGGGGAGCAACAAGAATGAAGGTAGGCCAGAGATCATCATGGTGGGAGACAATGAGGAATCTGCTCAGGAATTGTTGAGACAGCATAGAACAGTGATGATGAACCTTTTTGGCACTGAGTGCTGAAAAGGGGACCCATATGTGCTCGTCTGGGATGCTATTTGGAAGAGGAGCTGCCCAGGAGGCATGTGCATGCTGGGAAATGCACTTTTTACCCCCCATAGTTAAATGTTTTTTATTTTACATTTTACATTTTCATACAGTCACATATATACTGTGCATAGCTGGGGCCATAAACATTAAACAATAATCACAGCAATTCCTCTTGTCAACAATAGCCCGCCAAATAGAAACCCAATATACCTCTTCCACTCTCCATACACCTCTTTCTTCCCGTGGCACGACAAAACCGCGGTCCACTAAAGCGCGCCCGATTAAAGCGTGTACCTGACGTCATCAGCAGCGCGACAAATACGACCGCGGAGAAAAAAGGACGCTTTAAAAAGCGCTTTTAAAGCAAGCCGATTCACGTAAAGGTAAGGGTTAGGTTTAGGGTTAGGGTTAGGTTAAGGGTTAGGGTTAGGTTTAAGGTTACGTTAAGCGTTAGGGTTAGGTTTAGGGTTAGGTTTAGGGTTAGGTTTAGGGTTAGGTTTGGGGGGGTTAGGGTAAGGTTTTCGCGTTAATTTTAACTTTACTGCTCACAGCGTGATGTTTTCGTCGCACTGTGATGACGTCAGGTATGCGCTTTCGTCGAGCGCGCTTTAGTCTACCGCGGTTTTGTGGTGGAATCCTTTCTTCCACCCCCCTCCAACTTTCTATCTTCCCTCCATCATTCCCCTCTACCCTACTTCCCCTCCCCCTCTACCACTCCTCTCCCCCAGTCCACTCCCTCCCTTCCTTCTCACCCTCCCTCCCATCCTCCCTCCCGCCCTCTCTACCCCTCTTTCTTCTATCCCACTGCTCCTCCCCTTGGTGTATTTCTACTATATGTCAATGTATTCAGCTTGTCCTATTTTTTACAGAGAAATTAAAGAAAAACAGTATACATGTGAAATCGCATTACATTGAAATCTAACACATAGTATATATCCCCCCTCCCCTCCCCCCTAACACCCCACCTCCCTCCCCCCCCGACTTCCCAGAGCCCGTACACGGTATAGATTTTTAACAAACACAGTCTAAAATATATTGAGACAAAAGAAATAAAAAAAAGAGGTTAATAACATCTCTACATTGATCTTAGCTTCTTCCTGTTACACTAACTTTGAACAGTTTAACTTATTCCTGATCTTAAGCATAGGCTATCTGGTATTTCTTAGTCCCATATTTGTTTTGTATATAGTCAATCCATTTTTTCCAGTCTCGTTTATATCTCTCATTTGAATGATCTTTAAGATATGCCGATATTTTAGCCATCTCGGCTAAGTTTGTAACTTTCAATGTCCATTCTTGAGTTGTAGGCAAGTCTTCCTTCTTCCAGTATTGCGCCACCAACAGTCTTGCCGCCGTTATTAGGTGCAGAACCAAGTTAGTCTCTACCACTGTAAAGTCAGTACATATACCTAGTAAAAATAACTGAGGAGTAAACTTTATCCTTCTTTTAAAGATATGCACTTCTGACACCGCACGTGCCACTTAGGGCACGTGTGCCATAGGTTTGCCATCACGGGCATAGAAAGGAAAAAAGTTTCCTTCCTTATCCTATGGAAGTAACAAGAACAGCAATTAAGAATTCCAGTCCTGTGTAAGGACAGTTACTTTCATAGCTTTGTTTCAATGTGTGACTTCTGTTTGGGTGGCAGCTTTAGAGTGGGAGGAAAACCTACAGCCAAGTGGGTTGGCAGGCTCTCTTTCCTGAGAGTTTAGTCTGCAAAACTCTCAGGAACTTTGATTTTTTGAAAACATTTTCATGTTTTGCTTTCTGGGCTCAGTTTAGGAATGCAGGAAATTGCCTTTCAAGTAGTCACTAAGTTGGTCTAGTCTATTGTCTACTTTGGCAGCTGGGAGCAGCCACTGAGTTTCTGAGAGAGGTAACCATTTGCTTCTTGTCCTGTTACAGAAACTTAAGTGGTTCTTCATGCAAAGCATGATAGCAGATCTATCTATCTGGATCTCAATTCTTATTCTCTAGCACAGACTTCCCCAGTCTGGTAGCTCTCTGAACTGTCATGCCTACAATTCTTTTAAATTTTTCACCTATTTTAAAAAAGATGCATGAATACAAGGTCTGAATGCTCTTTTGCTATTAAGTGTTGATAATTTAGCTCTATTTGTTACAACTTAAGTGATGATTGCAATATTTAATACACCAAAAGTGTACTGGAATTCTCTTTATACTTATTTTGATAAGGTTTACAGATTAAACTAGGTGAATTAATTTCTTTGCATGCTGAAAAATTATGTAATCTCTGTAATCACCAAATGTCCGTCTGGATCTTTTGTGCTTGGTGTGGTTGTATATTTATACAAAAAACAAAAGAGAACTCAAATATTTATACTTTTAGTGTGCAAAAAAAAGTGTTAAAATATGGGTTGATAAGAACGTTTTTAAACTAATTACTTTAAACCACTTTCCTTATATTTAATAGAATACAAGATGTATTAAAGAAATATGCAGATATATTATTACAATAACAGATTAATTGAATCTGAGCAGATCTATACCTTTAATATGCATTAGCTTCTTCTCTTACACACACACACACACACACACACACACACACACACACTGTAACACATCCATACACATTGGACTTTAGCTCAATTTATCAAAAGGTTATAAGTTGCAAAACCAGAGCATTATGTCATAAAATAATTAACTGGATTATAAAATCTGTAGATCAACTTTTTTATATCACACTCTCATCTTCTCCGTTCATCCTCCCCTCTACTCTGGTTTCATAATGCTGTTAACTGATCTGTTAATTGTTGTTTTTTCTCTTAACCTTCAAATACATATACCAAAAAATGGCCATAACATATCCCACATATACATATTGAAGGACTATTGGCAAATTCATGGCACATTGCATTTAACTATCTGGATAGACCAATAATCTAAAGAAAGACTGTGCATTATCATTTATTCAAGAATAGTCAACTTGATGTACTCTAGATATTTTGTGGACATAGTAGTTTATAGAAATTTAGTCTATACCAACAACAATATTCTAGTGCATGCATTTTAGTGTACTATATGAATTCAAAGTAAGTCATAATGTGCTTTGTTGAATGAATTTAATCATTGTTGTATAATTTATATGGTATGAATCCAATAAATTATGACTTATTTAATAAACCATAGTTAACCAAATGACTGAACGATGCTTCAATCATGCTGTGTTGTAGGCTTAATTTGTTTGATCAGCTGAAGCTGCTTTGTTACCCACACTAGTGTTAACTAGTTAGCACACTGTGGCATTGGTTATCCCTTAAACAAAGCACTCTACAGTCAAAGAATACCTAGTTGAATCCGGATAACCTCAAATTTTAAACAAGGTTAGACCTTATTTCTGCTTGGGGTAGAGGCCACCAGGAGAGCTCAAAGCTGGGAATTAGACTAGGAAACTACAAAGATATCCCAGAAAAGGTGCCAAATCTTGTATATAATATTGCCACAAAAACTTCATGGATATGTTGGTAAAGTCATCAAAAGTCAAGCTTGGTACAAAAGAAATGTTACCTTAATACAAATAGGAAGTATGATTACTGTCATCTGTCTACAAAGTAAAATGTGCTTATCTTAAAACTCTTTTATTTCTGGTAAAGTATATACAGCATAGAGAAACTATGCAAAATTTCATGAATGTGCACAAGTTCATATGTTTAATGTTTTTCCTCTAGTTTTTAATCTTAATTATGAATAGATCTTATTATGACTCTATAAGCACAGGCCAAATAACCATTACTTATTTCCAAATAAAAAATATTAAGTTTATTTGGGCACCTGGGTCTGATCCTGCTTTGGAGAAAACATTAAACATATGTATATATACACTGGATCACATATCTAAAGGAGCCTTGATGTTTACTTTGGGGGTGCTGTTGACTATGCTTCCTCCCTCTCTTGATGGTAACTGCTGGAGATGATGCAGGTAACATCACCAGGCAGAAGATAGACTGAAATACAGTATCTTCCACCATGCTGAAAGGCTGGTAGGCCTTCATCTATACCATACCTTGCATCAATTCTGATTCACACCCTGCAACTTGCATCTGATACTATGTCAGACTCTGCTTGGGAATAGATGTCTTATTGCTATTAGAACCACAAATGACTAACATTGAAAAGCTAACGCAGATGTTTAATTCCCCAAACAACACAAAGTTTCCCCTGCAAGAGACTGCAAGGCTGAAGAATAGTCACATTTAACTTCCTTTGGGTCCAAGACTGGAGGTAAATCTGAAGTTTCCTCTAGACCAGTACACCTCCTGTAGACTCAGATTCAAAGGGTTAAAGTCAGAGGTGGGTTGCTGCCAGTTCGGCCCAGATCAACCGAACCAGTAGTAGCGGTGGCAGGAGGCTCCAACCATCCACCCGGACGCTTCTGTGCATGTGCATCTGAACCAGTAATAAAGAAATTGGCAACCCACCTCTGGTTAGGGTGATATTCTTGTCTGACATTCAGGCTGCTGTCAGGGAGACTATAATCCTCTGAACCATGACAAGAACTCTCCATCATTATCCATCCCCAGTCAGATGACCCAAGATATAAAAATGACCCCTCCTCTTGAAAAAGCATCCTTTTGTCACTTGATCAGTAGCCCTTGGCTTGACCTTCCTTCTGACCACTTCCTACAATCGGTGCACATGGGGAATATACTACATGTGGCTAGCTAAGCTGTTGGAGCTGGCAGCTGACATCAGGCTAGAAACCTGGGTGACCATAAATCAGTGACTTCCTCTCAGTTTTAGGAAGGTGGAATGGCAAATCACTTCTGAAAATGAAGCAAATGAAGTCCTTTGAATTATCAAAGGACATATCCAAATAGCCTCCAAGAATCAGACAAAACTGAACAGGGAAAAAAGGGATTATAGTTTGGGCCTGACTCTAAGGGAAGGACATTATCATTTTATGATCTAAAGGGGTTGTATTGAAAAGGAGAAATATGAATGTGTTTTTCTCTTTGCCTTTTGATCATCAACCCATTATACTGAATTAAGGCTAAAACACAAATGCCCAAAGAAGCTTTCTTGAATTAAAACAGGATGACGAGTTTGGAGGGAAGCAGAAGCAGTCAGTCAGAACAATGATCTCCCATTCCAACCTTACGGACTCTTTGGAACCAGTTGGTAAACAGAAGCAAATTCCATAGAGAACCACTGGCTTCAAAAGAATAAGGGCTTCAATCTGCAATTGTTTCCATGACCTTGAAAACCTTGAAGCTCAAGTTGGGCAGTTGATTGAAGAGAATGAAAAGACATTGGTTAAAGTTTTCAGTAGTTGCAAAATAAATAAGGTGTGACTGTTTCCTTTTCTAGAATAGCTTTACTGAGATATAAATTACCCAGTTACACTTAGAGAAACAAACATATTTGTTTGTTTAAATCACTGCTCGACAACTGATGCCTCTTATTCTGTTTGTCCTTCCCCGAAATTTTAGCAAGTGAAATACCTGCAGAAGTTGTGGCCGCGGTTGATGTGAATACGGTAGCCAATGAAGTTTATGCACACAATTTTTCTACCACACCACTGTGGCCAAAAACAATTGAGGTAAGTGAAATAATTGTTTGAAATCCTTATACATTTTTCTTTTTTACACGTTGGTGAAGCAATACTGTCTGGTACCATACTAAATAAGAAACTAATTTGGTTTCCTCCACCCCACTCAATTTTGTACTTTATTTCTCTTGCTTTGTAAATGAGGGTGAAGAAGATTCACCCAATTAAAGCAAATGGCTAGTTTTACAGAGCAAGCTGTGCTAAAATGTGATTTGCTTGTTGATGGCTTAACACAGATTCTCGCACTCAGGGTTGCAATCCCCTGGACACCAGGAACAATTTAGTAGTGATGGGAGGGTCAAACCTGATCAAGGCAACGAGTTTGCTCTGGATTTTGAAATTTTGAAATGACGACATTTGAGAATGCCTGCAGTTTAAAGATTTATAACTAAAAATAAGTAATCTATCCTTTGTTTTGTTCATGGGGACAAATTCAGTTATTATTTAGGGGAACCTCCAAGTTTGGCTCAATGTACTGAATAAAACTAATTATAAATTATAGCCTAGCACATCACATGACCCTAGCCAGTTTGGGCTCACTCCAGAAAGCCTGATTAAGCAACCCAAAGCATATTGTAGCAATTGATAATGCAACACCCCTAAAAGGTTCCACAGGTGGGAATGATTCATTTAGGCAAGCTGTTAAGGCATTCAAAAATTACAGATAAGAATTTATTGAAAAGGGCCACTTCAATGCATTTTGACAATTACAGTCATTCAGGAACAAGCCTATTTATTGAAACACGGTTCAGGCTCATATATGTTTCTTTCTCTTTCTTCTTTGCTTTGCCTATTCTTTTGAATGATTAATCAATCACTCATGTTTTTGTACCAATATACTGAAAATATAACACCTTAAAATATAATAAAAGAATAGGCAACATAGTAGGTAAAATAAAAACAATGAGCAAGAAAAGTCTCTAAAGTACTTTGTGTAAGTACAAAAGGCCAAGGAACAAGGGGAAAGATGGTGATTCAAGTATAAGTTCTTAAAGTTTACCTTGCAGCTTGTCATAAGCAGCAAGAAAAGAAGACATTGAAATAGTCCTTCTCCCTCTGCAAGCCAAACAATATACTGCATATAATGGAAAATGTTTCATTAACCTCTTATTTCTTTAGGGAATAACACTGAAAGAATTCAACAGTTTATCTTTTGATATGATTTTGATGAGTCCCCCTTGTCAGCCCTTTACAAGGTATTTGCCATTATTTTCGTTTGGGGTGTTTTTCTCAATTTTTCAGTGTAGATTGAGGCAGAGTCCTAGGCCACATACTGGCCCAAAGTTGGTTTCGGTGTCTATCCTCTTGATCTCTCCTCTCCTAGTGTAGCACCTTAACCACTACTATAAACTTGGCATTCTAGTTATGTTAAACTCACAGATTGGTGTTCTGGTTAATGAAAAAAATCTGCCAGCTAAAAGGCAAAAGTGAAATGACTATTTTACAGTAAAATTGTTTTTTTATAACATATTTGCATTTAATGGAACAACATGATATCCTTCATTTCATATGAGCTGTGATGGTGCAGTGGTTAGAGTACAGTACTTCAGGTTACTTCTGCTGCCTGCCAGGCTCAAGGTTGATACAGCCTTTCATCCTTCTGAGATAGGTAAAATGAGGACACAGATTGTTGGGGGCAATATACTGAACCACTTAGAGAGGACTGTAAAACACTGTAAAGCGGTAAATAAGTCTAATTGCTAAGTTCCATGCTGCATGGGTCTTCATTTCCACTCACTAGAGTTTTTTGTATTGATCTGTGAAAGAGCATTAGTGTTTCCACTCACACTACTGAATTAATTCTATTCAACAATTATCACAATTCGAGCTAAAGACTCTCAGCATATATGCAATTGGACATCCAAATTTTGATTCAGCTCAAACAGTTAAGAAAATACTATTTTTAGAGGCAGAAGTTTGAGTTCTTCCTATTTTGTGCACAGAAGTTAAACTTACTGGCTTTTTAAATTTCACATCTTTACTTCTTACGCGCAGAATTGGTCGACAAGGTGATATTTCTGACCCTAGGAGCAAAAGTTTTCTCTATATTTTAGATATTCTTCCAAAGTAAGTATTCAAGGTAACTGTTCTCCTCTAATATTACTGGTTAAGATTTGTGATGCCATTATGTCTAGATTTTAAAGCCTATTTCACTTTCCATGAGTTGTAGTTTTATACACTTTTATGGACCATAGATAGTTTATAGTTACAGAGTTGCCTAAGAAAACATGTTAAAAAGAATATAAAATTTGTATTTTCTGATAAAATATTGAACATGAGAAATGAACATATAAAATTATGTTTTAGGAACTACAGGTTTGTGCTGAGCCTATATAGGTGCAGCCTTTGTCTCTTCCTCTCTTCTTCTTTGAAAATAGCATATAATATATTAATTTGAGTTGATTTGCCAATACAGTATTTGATTCTGTTTATCTGGTGTTTTTTAGTACTTATGAGCAGGATTGATACAGATTGGAAAGAGTTGTTTCTATCATAGTCTACTGTATTTCTATTATACATATGCAATATATTGTTACAGTAAATTATCATAGCATATTAGTAGTTAGATCTTGATAACATCTCATATATAATATGTTTGATAGCCAGCATGATATATACATAATGTTGGATTGTCCTAGGTTCTATCCAGTGATGGAAAATCTATGACACATACATGTGTCATGCCATGTAATTTGTGATATGCCTTGAAGCTGGACTAGAATATGGTGTATTGTTGCACAGTCTTTTGACCTTCTGGAAGTTGTGTGAGACAACCTTGTTCTTGTATAGCCTAAGGAGCCTCTGAAAATTATGAAAGAACATTCTTGCATGTTTTTCAGAGCCTCCAAAAGCTATGAGAGCATGACCCTCTAGTGCAATTTCCAGAAGTTCCAGAGACCATACCACATTCTCATGTGGCTTTGGCAGTCTCTAAAAAGTGGGAAACGGTTTTGTGTGAATTGGGGGACTCCAGAGATTCTTGGGTGATTTTTGGAGACTCCAGACTTAAGAATGTAGTGTGTTCTCACATGATCTCTGAATTCTCTGGAAGTCATGTGAGAGGGTTCTGCCCTCACATGTCTTCTAAATTACAGCATCTAAAATGCACATGAATACAGGACATGCTTTTCCACTTTGGAGGTTTCAAGAATATGGAAGAGCATTTTCCAAAGTTTTTAGAGCTAGTGCAACCCAAAACTGGTTGGATTGGGGTTTTTTTTTCCCCTGAGAGACAAATTGAAAAATATTTACATTTATCCATTTGTTTGTTTCTTTGTTTATTTAATGTGTCATCCATTTCACTAGTCAAAGTTACTTTGTTATGAATTGTTTCTCTCTCGCTCCTCTCTTTGTATGTATGACACACTAGCAGAGTTAAGTTAACCATTTTCTGAATTTTTGTCACAATGACCCCCAAAATTTGCCATCACTGAGAATCTAGCTTGACCCAAGTTCTCAGAGACTCATGGGTGATTTATATCCAGTCGCGTTTGCCCACTCTAACCTATCTGTCAGAGTGTTTTATTAATTCCAACTATGCTTTCAAGAAAATCACTTCATTGAAAGTGTTTTTTTTAATTATTTAAAAAATATCTTAGATCGTCATATTTCTATTCTACAAATGAAATGTCTATGTTAAAACACCTCACATGCTGATTAATTATATGTTCCTTTTTTACAAACTCAGATGTATGATTAAGGAAGTAACACAAAAACTTTTTGTTTTTCTTTTTCTATGCTTGGAACAGTCTAGCTTGAATGCACTGTGTTATCTGTAATTTTTAAAAATGCATTTAATCTTTCTTGGCCATATGTCTCAGTGAAACAGCAGTTTCAGTCTTAAGCTGCTAAATTCTGAGACTTGGCCTTACATAATTCTTGTCTCCAACTGAGATAAAAGTTAATACATTTCTGATTGATTTATTTAACCTGTTGTCAATAATTTCTGTTTTTTAATTGAAATAATGAGATGCAATCTGAGGGTAGGATGAAAAGTAATTAAGCTTAATGTTTATTTTGATCCAATTGTTCATACTTATAACTAAGTTTAAACAAATTGTTTTTCAGGCTTACAAGGCTGCCAAAATATTTACTTTTAGAAAATGTCAAAGGTTTTGAAACATCTTCTGCCAGGTATATTGGAATTAAACATTAATGCCAATTTTTGCTTTGTTGGCAAAAGAGTAAGGAACTAATAAAATTATACAATGGGTATTTTCAGATTGGAAAAATGTAACATTGCCAATACTTGGAACATGGAGATTAGCTCATAATACCTTATTGTATTCGAAAAAATAATAAAAATTCCTAATTCATATAACTGAAGTTGCAAGATTAAACTGTTTTTAGTTGAGATGTAATGATAGTAAGGCTATATTTATCTATTATATATTTAGAATTAATATTTCTATTGGAAAATTTGAGGGCATCCTAGCTTTTTATTTTAAGACTAATTACTTAAGAGGGCAAGAGATCTTTTGTTTAAACTGAAATGTTAACTTCTACTCAGCAGTGAGGACAAACTGCAGGAATTCCATCTATTCCTTGGTCTCCTTTTCTACAAATAATGTAGAACGTGCTTTTTTAGTATCAAAATATTGATGTACTTCTTTATTTCAGGATAAATAGGATGGGCAACTAATTTTCATGAAACATTTCCCAGCCCAAATAACTAAGCTGAATTCACATTTTATGTTTTTCTTTAGCTTAGTACTGTTAGGATTTCAGTCATTGCAGTTCATAACTATTTTATGAACTAAGATGAATATCTTATTGTAATGACATTAATTATAGTATCTGAATCCAATCATTATGGCAGTAGTAAAAAATGTATTTAGACAACTTTGGATATTCATTCATAACAGTGGAATTCATGGTTTTGTTTTATTTTCATATTGCCAGGGATGAACTTATACGAACACTAAAAAAATGTGGATTTACATATCAAGAATTTCTGTTGTCTCCAACTTGCGTGAGTAATGGTATTGTTAAAATTAGTTCAGTTCAAACTTTTCCTGTAGATTCACTTACTTTTGAGAGATGCTGATGGTTATATACTGTTTCTCAGACCAAAATTATTCCTACCAGTTTGTTCCTGGATTCACTTTATTATTATTCCATCAAAATTGAATTTTGCCTCCTTTCTCATAGTGATGTTGATGCAGAAACATTTCTAAAATAGCAACAGAGACAAATCTCTGAATTTTCTCTCATTGAACATAATGATAAAGAATTGAAATCTAAAATATAACACCACCAAATTATACATACTTGGTTGTCATATTTGAGGTGAGGATATTGGGAATCAGGAAATATAATGATGGAAGGATTTGATATTGTCCCCATTTCAATTAGAGAGGCAGTTTGTTGTCAACAGATTAAGATAACAGAATCCATTTGTGTTTATATAATGAAATGGCACTTGCATGTCAGACTAAAATACTTTGCTATTTTGAGAGGGAGATTTGTGTAGAGAGAAAGAGAAATAGAAAGGAGCAGGGGAGGCAGGAAGGACCAGGAGAAAAGGATCCATCCAATTTGTGGTGAGAAAAGAAAGGGATGATTGAGTTAAGGAAAATCAAAAAACCTTGAAAATAACAGTCTTGTAAAGAGATTTGGACTTCATGCATAAACATGAAACTGTCTTTTCAGATGCAGGCACGTATTCACCATATATTCCCAAGCAAAGTGGGAAAGTTTTGCTTTTTCTTTACTTATTGTGATGCAAATTACTGCTTCTCTGTGTGATTGTTGAAAATTCAGCCTTCTTTGGAGTCCCTGGAAAGAGAAGGAAGCCTTTACTTCTTTCCTTCCAGTACCTTGTTCCTGAATGATGTTTTTCTTCACTGCTAACAGTTAAATGGAGAAATAAACCAGGGATTTTCAAGCAGAAAAGAGGGCATCAAGGCCACAGGATTGCCTCTGTTGTTTTTCTTCTGAATTTAATCTGAAATATATTTCACAACTGTCGACGTAGCGATTGGTGTGATGAACTTCCACAGTGGAATATTATGCTAGTTCCACCATTATGTTATTATAAGGTCTGAAATTTTCATAACTCAACCATTGTTCTAATCATCAAGGATGTCAAACTTGCAGCGTCATGTTGTCATCATGTAAAGGGATGGTATTCACTTACCTTCCCTACCAGTTCATAAATGTGAGCGTGTGCACCCAGCCTTCTGTGCATGAGCTTTTGGCTAAAAAGGGGCCTATATGGGATTCTGTAGAGCCGCCCACGATTTCCACTACCGGTTCAGGCAAACCGGTCCGAACAGGCAGAATACTGCCTTTGATCATGTGACATATTGTGACTTTCCCCCCTTTGCTAAAACTGAGGCAGGCATAGCCAGCTCATGTCATATCCGCCCTGCAAACTGCGAGTTTGACCCCCCCTGATCAAAACCATTGAGATTATTATTTACTTACAGATTGGGATTCCAAACTCAAGATTGAGGTACTTCCTGATTGCAAGACTCAATTCAGAACCCTTTTCTTTTCTAGCACCTGGGAAGGTGAGACTACCTTTTCATTGTTAATCACAAAAGCTACTGGTTGCAGTAATCTCAAAGTTCAAGTCATCTGTGAATGGAAATCTTAAAATATATTATTGAAATGTGCTAAACTGTTTAAAGAAATGAGAGAACATTTCATATTGAAGGCGAATAATATCATGCAGCATGCTTTAATATGGCACCTATCAAAAAGGATTATAGTCAAGCACGATGCTTTTCAGTTTTGTTGGAACTGCAATTTCCAGAAGTCTCTGCTAGAAGAAATGATTAAAGCATGCTAGTTTAAGATTCACAATGGTTTTTTTCCTGTTCATTTGTGTTGTATTAAATTGCTATTTAATTTTATATGAATACATGGATTGTTCTTTCTACAGCAATCTCCAGTTAGAAGGCATTTGGAAGGGTGTTTTTTTTTCAGAAAAAAACTTGAAACTGCTCTAATGGAGCAAACAAACTTAGTTTAGGGCATATTGAAATATTGTGCAAAGTGATCCAATTTTGGAAGAAAGAAAGCTGGAAGACTACCCATTCAGTACATTGAAAAATGGATACTTGAGGACAAAAGGTTTCTCTATAATTACTGGATTTTATTATTAGACTGTAAATATTAGATGTCTGCACTATCATATGTAATATCATATGTAAATATTTTGAATGCAATTTGTACATCATGTGTGCATATGAACACCATTTGAAATAAATACCTGAAACACTAATAAGAAGCTAAGACAATGTCATGGTTGATTCATGTTGTCAGGGAACAAGGACAATTTAAGATTTGTAAACAATTTACCAATTCAGGTGATCAATCAATATCAGATTAGGCATCCTTTACTTCAGAGGTGACAAACTCAGGGCTTAAGGGCCGGATCAAGCCCACAGGGTACTTAGATCTGGCCCATGGGGCCACCCTGGAAACAGTGAAGGACCAACCCCCATCCTTCTGCCAGTGAGAACAGAGCTTTGGATGCAGCTCTCCCAAGCTGTGTTTTTGCTGGCAGAGGGTTGCAGGAGGCTGTGGCAGCTGAAAATGGAGGTCAGGAGCCCGTTTTTGCTGGCAGAGTATTTGGGCCACCACAGAGGCCCCTAACATGGATGATGTTGAGGTGGTCACACCCACCCCAGCCCCCGAGGTCAAACACAACTCTGATGCAGCCATCAAAGAAATAGAGTTTGACACTCCTGCTTTATCTGATGATCATCTTCACTGTTAGATTTCGTATATTGCTTGCCCAAAAAAGTGTTTGCTAATATACCTGGGTGGCACCAGATGATTTATAAAATAAAATTTAGTTATTTTGAAAATATTTGATAGTTGATAATCTTAGAAAAGGATCTTATTCAATAACCTTATACATGGTGACTGATTTAATATATGGCACTGAAATGCATTTCATTTGTCTTTTTGAATAAAGTATACAGTTTGCTAGTTTGCTTCACACATTGCTCTAAACAGCCTGACTTGCAGGTGTAGTACTTGGTGCATAAAATGCAGCAAACTCCAAACCATACAAATCCCATGATAGTGGGAACCTGATCTGCATATGTTGTCATCTTTGCTAAAATAAAATTTGAAACTTCCTTTGAATGTTTGTGAATATAATACTTTATAATTAGGTGTATATTTTTCTTCAAACAGATTTTGACTGATTTCCCAATCCAGGAAACAGGGAGTTCAAAGACATGTAAGGTTGCTGCAACTGTGACAGAAGATGGTTCTCAAGGACTTCTGAAAGACCCTAGTTCTTGTCATGATGCTAATGACAAGCAGTGCCAGGAGAAGGGGCAGCTTCTGTATAAACTTGAAACAGAGTCAGAATTGGAAAGAAAACAGAAGTGGGACAACAATTTGTCTTTACAGATGCTCAAAAGTTTTCTCCAAGATGACAGAGAAGAGCTGAGTCAGTACTTCTTACCATTGAAATCCTTGCTACGTTATGCTCTCCTTTTAGATATTGTCAGACCCACTTGCAGAAGATCTACATGTTTCACAAAAGGGTAAGATCCTCATTGTTGGTGAACCTTTTCAGCACCGAATGCTGAAATGGCAGCGTGCTTGCACATGCATGTGTGTGCGTGCCAGAAACTGGAAGAACAGCCACTTGGTGCGCATGCACGTGCCTGGAAAATGATCTTCCTGTTTCCAGTGCATGCATGTGCACTGACCACCTGTTTTTCTGGTTTCTGCCCTGCAAGCGCACGCAAAGACCAGCTAGCCATTGCGCATGCCGGAAACCAGAAGATTATCTTCCTGGTGTGCTACTCTGCTGGTTTCCAGCACTCCAACAGAGCAGTTGGCCAGCGCTCCAGAACCCGGAAGGTGATGGCTCACATACCCAGAGAGATGACTCTGTGGGCCACTTCTGGCATACATGCCGTAGGTTTGCCATCACGGCTCTGAATTAAGCTGTTAATTCATTTGGTGTAGTTTTCATAATAAAAATGTATCTTTGCATCGTCTTTTTTTTTAAATTTTCCATAGTCAATAAGCCAAAGCATAGTTCTCCTAAATTCATTTATCCCAATCATTTAAAAGACATGCTGAGAAGAAGAAAATTCTCAGAGGAGATTGACATATTTGATGATCTTTCCAAAGAATCATCTATGTCGCATAAAAGCAAAGCCCTGTTAGTAGCTATTGGCAAAGATATCTGTTATTTCATTTCACATAGTGTTTCAGGACAATGAAGTAAGGGTGGAGAACTGAATCAGGAAAGGGTGGGAAATCAGAATTGGATTCTGTCCACTCACATTCTCCAGATGCCCAGAAGAAGACCAGGCAGCATCATGGTAGAGGAATCCCTCTCCAAAAGACAAGTCTTTGCTGCTCTCTTTGGCATCCAGTTCTCCACAGAGAGCAGGCAGGAACTACCTTCTAGTGGAACTATTATATGTAGTTTAAAGGCTGTTCAGCCTTAGAGATTTACCAATGAATTTTGTGAAATGGTTTGCAGGGGTTTGCAACTAATAAACAATTGAGCAAAAGAGATTTGCTTCATTACTATCAAGCAACTTTTCATTACTATGCCAAATACACAGGATGACTTTGGTTCCTTTTTTTTAAAGTAATGTTACTTCTGTATACAAGTCAGTTTTGTAATATCGTGCATTTTACCTGCAGTTTCTGTCCTCAGAAAGTGTGCAGTGCAATGGAGAGATGCAGCCTCTATTATTTAGAGGTCCAACTCCTTTTTTCCTCTCTTCTGTTCACCCTGTGACTGTATAGAACAGTAATTTAAATTTGCCCAGCCTTCTTTGTCTCCTTTACTGGAATCAGTGTTTATCTCTAGCTACAGTTCATCTCTCTCTCTCCCATGTCAGCTTTTGTTTTTTGTGAGGGTATGTTTAGTTATGTTTGCTTGATAACTGTTTCTCAGGTTCTGCTTGTCCTGTAATTAACAATAAATAACAGTCTGCAAGAAACTGCTGCATAAACGTGTTTATACTAAAAACCCGCAGTGGTTCCAGAAAAAGGATGCCATTATTTTTAGTGCTTCTATCTCAAATATCAGTGAGCCCAGCGTTGTATACATTAGTGCTGTGTACATCTGGAAAATGATTTGCAAGAAATGTTTTGGCTTTGCAAGAGCACATCATGATTTAGCTGTTCATTAAGGCAGTCTTTATTGTTTTCATGCTTCGACAGCTTACAAAAATGTACCATTTCTTGAAGAGTCACAATAACCTTTGAGTCACTCCTTCAAAGAAAGCAGGACTGTTTTAATGTTCAATACGTTTGTGGTCCTGAAAGGTTCAAATCACTTCTTCCACATTATTTTCAAAGTAGGCATAACCATGGGATGTATAATTGAAAAAAAAACTGTGGGCAGATTTATATGCTGAGTAATTTGTATGGATGCAGTTGAAAACAATGAATCCACTATGCATATGATGCAGACATATTTCATTTGCAGTTGATCAATATTAAACCATGTTGATGCAGGAAAAAATATTGACAAAGGATTTGAGCCCTCTCTAGTAGCCACATGTATAGAGCATTTGATTTTGTTTATGACCAAACTGGTTGAACTTGTATTCCCCGGACTACTTTTATTAAATTGGTGTTCAGTTAGATGCTTTTATAAGCCATTTGCAAACACAACCTCTCTACTCATTAATGGTGCAAATCTCACAAGGATTGTAATGTATGACTCTTAATTGATTTGAAGGTATGGACACTATGTAGAAGGAACTGGTTCCGTCTTACAGATGGCAGAAGATATTCAGGTACAGTGGAACCCTTTATATATTCATGGTTTAATTTTATGGTGCAGAGTCTTGGCCTTAGTTAATTAAAAAAAGAGATAGAAGTAAAGCTACCAGCAAGAAAACCATACAGGTTGCCTGATGACTAGGACTCAAACTTTGGTATGTTATTTGTTATTTTTATTAATATATTTAATTATATATTAATATTCTATGGAATAATTATAGGTGGTTCAAATATTTTAAAACTATTCAGATTTCTGAAAAAGATATGTAGATAGTCGTCAGAACATAAACACTCATTTAGCAGCTGTTCAAATTTGTGAAAAACCCTGAACAAAGGGTTTTTTTATGACTCGACTTCAGGGTTCTGGCTGTCACATGCTGGTCATGATCACATGATCTGTGCACTTCTGATTGCAACATTGAAGTGACATCGGAGCAGAATATTAATTCCCATTAAAGAAGCTGTGCTAGCAACTTGGCATGAAAAAGTTTTATTGCAGCAGGAGTATAGTATCCTCCATTTGAGCATAAAAATGAGATCCTCATTTAACACTCTGCACAGTCCTAGCTTAATGATGGCAGCTGGGCCTGCTGGAATTGCTGTCAGTTAGCAATGTACTCATGTGATATTGTGCCTTACATCTGTTGTTTAGAAAAGGACAATACCAGTCCCAACTGATACTGTAACCTGAGGAATACCTGTAAAACTAGTACTGAATCTGAGTGTGAAGGAAAATTTATTAATAAAAATAGACTATACAAAAAATATGTATTTGCAAAGTTTTTTTTAGTTTTTCAGATTTGCATGGGCGGTGATTTTGAAATATTATATTTTTATCTACTTTTTTTCTGTATCACTCACCGGACTTTTCTGGAAGTTTTTATTCCTGTAATAATCAATATAAATTATATCTTTTAAAGTTAATAGTACAGATTCCAGTGGTGGGTTCCTGCCTGTTTGGACCAGCTCAGTCAAAAGCATCAGGTCCTGCAGATATCCCTGACCCAGACAGAGTGTTTCAGCTCAGCTCTGCTAGGATTATGGAGCCTTGCAAATCATGATGATGGATGATGAAATAGTGGATGAAAATAAGATTGTTATTTTTTAGTCATACATCATGAACAGTTTGCCAAACTCTTTTCTACAGCTTGAATCCGTATTTAAATCCTTTGATGATTTGTCTGAAGATGAAAAGCTTAAGAATCTATCAATGCTTCAATTGCGGTATTTTACTCCGAGAGAAATAGCAAATCTGCATGGATTTCCCCCTGAATTTGGTATGTGCTTGGTATTTCTTAAAAACAACTATAAGTAATATAGAAGCTCAGTGAAGATGCTTACCATATATACTCATGTATAAATTAATCTGCATATAAGCCTACCTGTGAAATTTCAACCAGAATTCCAGGAAAAATGGGTTACTATAAATAAGCACATCTGCAAAATTACAACCAAGCAGAGAATAATTTTCCTTTGCTTCCATTCACAAACTAGTTTTTCACATACCTCACATTCTCTTGTAGCAGTAGCAGAATTGTTTTTTTTTTTTCCGTGCTACTCACAATTTTTAGCTTGAAAGTTGCAATATGACAATCATTGGCAATTTCTAGACATTGCAATTTCCTACCTACTGGAAATGTGTACAGAAAAAGTGAGAAACGTCAAACTTTTATGTCATCATTTAAAACTAGTGACTTTTAAAAATAAATCCAAGTTCTGTTCTATGGAAAGATGAACTCAAGTATGGGGATATTTTGGAATAAAAAAATTATTGGCTTATAGGCTATAAATTGTTCAGCAGGCAGAACATTTCTTCAGCTTATTCAACTTAGTTTGTCCTTATGAACTTTGAATATAATACATTTCTTCTAATATGACCACATATTTTAGATTCTGCATTTGTAGTACATTATAAAATACACACGTTCTCTTTGTTTTTGTTGTTTTTCTATGTGAAAGAAGCACTAGAAGAGGCAGTCATATACTCTTCTAATTGTTTTATTTTCATTAATAAAACCAGTCTCTTAAGGCTGCTGAAATAACATCGTTATACTCAATTACGATGTCCATGCATCTGTGGCTAGCTTTCAGAAAGATGACATCAGATTATTCATAAAATGCTTCTACTGCTAATGTTTTTTTCCCCAAGGCTAGCTTAGCCTTTTTTAACCTGGTGCACTTAAAATATGCATGGTTGCATGCAAGCAGAGCATTATACAGATAATGGTCAGATACTTCAGGAAGGCATTAAATTGGATAATGGCTGGGTCAGAATAGAAATGAAGAGAGATGTTGACATACAGGCTTGAGACAGATTTTTCTCTTTTCCAAGTGACAGATTTTTTAGAGCATACCATTTAGTACTGAGGTCATGCTGGAATCCAATTTCTCCACAGTTCAGTGGACATGAATGTAACCAGGAGGAAAAACACTTTAAATGAGGGGAAAAAATCATTGCTAAATAGTAGTGAAAAGGCAAGAAAGACAAGATGTTCCCTAAAATAGCAAAGTTCTTAAAAGAACCACACTTTACCATGCCAAAGAATAATGCTGAATGTTTAGTGGATTAAATATCATGAAATAATCACGCTTGGTCGGAGTAATCCATATTTCATGGTTCGGATGCTATTTGTGTTGGCAGTTAAATACCAGGAATTATTAAAAAAAAAAAAAAAAAAAAAACACCAAATCCCAGGCATTTCTTTCAGTTGAAGGGTTCTTCCACATTTCTGATAATGTTGTAAGTATAGAGAATGCCAAGAAAATATAATGTTTGCAGTACAGTTCTGTATCTATCTGAAAAGCTCAAGATATTTCCAACCGAAGTTCAATGCCTATATAAAAACAACAATGCAGTTTTCTTGGCAACAATATAGGAGTTTGTCTTTGCTTTCTTCTGTAAAAGTATTTGGGTGGGTTGGTTCATTGGTTGGTTGGTTTCTCAGTCTAGTCTATAATTCTGGTGGCTTCCAATCAAAACCCTAAGGAGACTAGCTCTCCTTGGTTTCCAAGCCAAGGTTTTGCTGCTTTCTGCTGAGATGACATATGTTAACTCAAAGGCAAATTATGTTGAGTTCAGTGATCTTGCTCTCAAGTCAAAGAGGACTGCAGTTCTATACTCACCGGCCTTAGAATATGAGTTATTGAAGTTAACTGTCTATTTATGACTAAGGTTTTATAGGATTTCAGTCTCAAAATAATAGCAATAACTGTTAATTGCCTTTGGAAGTAAGATATTTCACATTGCTGAAAAAATAGTGTTTTCTCTCTTTTAAAAAATAATAATTTTTGTTTTAGATTTTCCTGAAAACATTGCCATAAAACAATGTTACCGTCTACTTGGAAACAGCCTCAGCGTATTTGTGGTTGCTAAATTAATCTCATTTCTCGTTGACCCTATCAATAAGTGATGAATTGTTCAAGTGAACTTTCTGGAGACATTACACTACACGGATACATCCATACTAATATGGATTTCTTTCTTGGAAGAGGATTGAATCTGATTACTATGGTATATTTGTGTGGATGCTCATCATTGTTTATATCATTGTTTATAAATAAATAATTGACAAATGTGCACCTGTTTTACCTTTTATAAAAATTGAGGGTCTTACTGAAAGTCTTGTGTTAGTATTTTAATTTATCAATATTGTATCCTGAATTTATGAAAAAATAGGAGTTTATATAAATCATTTTAAATCTTAAATCCAGCTCAGTACTGGAATATAAATGTTTTTAAATAAAAAAATTAAAGTCAAATATTAAATTCCTTTTAATATTTTGAAAACAGCTCTTTTATTTTTAATATCATTTTATTACTGTTTCTCCCAAAGTAATACTAGAACTGTAATTTCATGATAAGTTCTTATTAGAAACCTCTACTTTATGTTGAATCCAAATGCCATTTTTTTAAGTTTCCTCGGGGAAAAGAGTGATTGATAATGATGCAACTCAACTTACGTTTTGTGGAGTAAATCTATGTATCTCAAAATCTCTGCATGTCAAATTCCCTTAGTTCAATTAATAGCATGTAATTATAAAAATAAAAAAACAGGCTTTTAAATCTTAGGATTTATATTTAAAGTAAAGAACAAACACCTTCTGGACTCAACACAGATTTACTAGTAGATCCAGTGTTTCATTATTATCAATGTATGTGCCTCTTAGAATATAGAACTCAGAATAATAATTACAAAAACAACCTTTCAGTTAAAAAAAACCTGAATTGCCATAGTTGTTAGAGAAAAAACAAAGCATCTTATGATAGAAATTTAAAAATAATTTATCATTATAAATCTTGGATAGATATTAGAAAACAACCATTTGCTTAGGTGCAAAGTTATCAACGAAATCAAATCTGGCTTTCTACATCCTTATAATCCCGTGATAGCGAACCTATGGCATGCGTGCCTGAAGTGGCACACAGAGCCATGTCACCTGGCATGCACAGCATTGCCCATTCCTCTTCCGGGCTTTTGGCACACATGTGCGCATGACAAACAGCTAGCCTTTCCTCGTGCTGATTGTCACACGCCCATGCGTGCCAGAAACAGAAGACCAGCTGGACAGCATGCATGTGCATGCCAGAAACCAGAAGTTCATTTTCAAGCATGCACATGCGCCCTGGGCAACGTATCTTCCGGTTGCGCCCCAGACGAGCGTGTGCATCACTCAAATTGCCATCACTCTTATAAAATATAGTACCTTATTTGGTACTATATGGGTATTAAAGAGGTCTGGTTTCTGAATAGTTACCATATTTTTAAGAGTATAAGACCCACCGGAATATAAGACCCACCAAGGTTTTCCAAGGTTTTGAAGAGGCAATTTTTTAAAAAAAAAAGTTTTTGCACTTTGCAAACCTCCGAAAAATGGCCCATTTTTGCAAAAACATGCTCATTTTTTTTTAAAGGGCAAGAATAGCCCTTAGGAGGCTTGTAGAGTGCTCCGGGGGGCGGGGTTGGGCAAAAATGAGCAAAAAACCCCACCTCCGTTTTTTGCAAAAAAAGGCCCATTTTTGGTTCAAAAAAGGGCATACATAGCCTTTAGGAAGCTTATAGCGTGCTTCTGGGGGCTGGTGGGGCAAATTAAGCAAAAAATGGCCCATTTTTTTGCTCATTTCTGCCCTCCCCAGCCCCCAAGAGCTCTGAAAGCCTTCTAAAAGGAGCTGAGGTGGCACAGTGGTTAAATGCAGCACTGCAGGCTACTTCAGCTGACTGCAGTTCAGCAGTTCGGCTGTTCAAATCCCACTAGGCTCAAGGTTGACTCAGCCTTCCATCCTTCCGAGGTGGGTAAAATGAGGACCCAGATTGTTGTTGGGGGCAATATATGCTGACTCTGTAAACCGCTTAGAGAGGGCTGAAAGCCCTATGAAGCGGTATATAAGTCTAACTATTGCTATTGCTATTGCTATTGCTAAAAGCTATGCATGGGCATTTTAGTGAAGGGGGCAGGGTTTGGGGAGGCAAAAAATGCTGTATTCAGTGCATAAGATGCACCCAGATTTTCAGCCTTTTTGGGGGGGAGGTGCATCTTATACTTTGAAAAATATGGTATAATGTAGTCGCTTTTCAGACAAGAGAGAAATTTTAAAGTTCAAATAGGATTATACTGTAAGAGCACCTGGAATTATGTTGAAAGGGCTGTCAGCATACTGTCAGTATGCAAGCTTGAAGACATACTTGTTCTTCAAAACATCTGCTATAGAGTTACAGAAGTGTATATAATTAAACTCTTATCAATGTGATTGCTCCTATCCTTGGGAAGTAATAACTTACCATCGCTCTGAAGATCTGCATATACAAATATACCCTCAATATCTGCCTTGGGAAATATTCTACTGAAGAAACAGAAGAGAAGACTGATAAGATTTGAAAATGGATTTTATCTATGATATTTCAAAGACACAAAAGGCTCCCAAATTAACATTTTTAGCGCATCTTGAATAAACCCAACTATAACTATCTATATTGAACATATTGCTGCTGAAAGTAATTACAATACACAGACATATCCAGTAAATATGCTTGAAAATTGTCATAATTTCCGTTTGCACACTAAAATACATTCCTATAATAATGTGTTTTAAAGTAGATTTAATTCAGACTAAATTAATGCTATGTTAAAAATACTAAGAATTTATTGAATAATTTGGAAATTAATTTGTCCTAGCCATACTCATATACAATACTTAATAAATCACAGTATTGTGGCTCAACTTCCTCCAGAAGCTGTGAGGAATTCAGAGAATTCATGTGGTAAAGTCTCAGAGAAAAATCCAGACACATAAATCCAGACTGTGTTAACTCATTATCTCTCTGGATTTCATTTTAAACTCTTATTTAGACATAATACTCAATGGAATATCAAAATAGCTGCTAAGGCATGATAATGGTTATGCCTTTTTTAAAAGAATAGAATAGAATTCTTTATTGGCCAAGTGTGATTGGACACACAAGGAATTTATCTTTGGTGCTATGCTCTTAGTGTACATAAAAAGGCAAGATACATTCGTCAAGAATCATAATGTACATTACTTAATGATAGTCATAGGATACAAATAAGCAATCAGGAAACAACCTCAATATAAATCATTAAGGATACAAGAAACAAAGTTACAGTCATGGGGTCATAAGTGGGAGAGATGGGTGATAAGAATGATGAGAAGATTAATAGTAATAGTAATGCAGCCTTAGTGAATAGTTTGACAGTGTTGAGGGTATATCTTTAAAGTATATCTTCAGTATGATAGCATTTAACATATGTCCAATATGCTGAACATTTTAAAATATTTTCGAAAACTATTTTTAGAACCTAGAATGAGGAAGAATACAAAAGGAAATGGTCCCAATGAAGTTTTATTGTTTATACATCTCCCTTCTTTTGATTTTTACAGGATTAGCATTTTTGGTCTGCATCTCATAGAATATTGAGATTCAAGATATTATCAAGAAAATCAAATAATATGTTCCTTTTAATTTTGACTCAATTGCTCAAATCCCTAAAATATTGTTATGAATAAAAGTTACAAATCTTCAAGGAGTATATACAAAAACTGATTTGTTTTGTTAATGAGGAAAAGAGGTGGGGAAGAAAGGAGATGTTTGCTTTTTTAAAAGTTCCGCTGAAATTTTAAAAACTACAAACAAACCAGATTAAAACAAACAAGCTATCAACTATGGATTCAAAGCATCCTTATCCTATTATATACTCTGACTCAGTTCTTACTTACATGTTCTATCTATTTCTTCTTCCTATTTCTTTACACATGTATACGATAATGACATACATTATCCAAACAGCAGATTTGAAACCAAGCTTAATTAACCTTGCCTAATAGTCTACTTCAGCTTTCTGTAATCTGTATATCTGTTGTGTTACATTTGAATTGAATTGAATTGAATTTATTGCATTTATATGCCGCCCTTTTTCCCGAAGGGGACTCAGGGCGGCTCACAATCCAAGTCAGGGAAGGGGGTACAGATAAGGGATAAAAAAGACGAACAGAACAATACACAATTTAAAAGCACACAACAACCATACCATTCGAGGCGGGGGCAAAAGCTCTTTAGCCCCAGGCCTGTCGGAACAGCCAGGTTTTAAGGGCTTTGCGGAAGGCCTGGAGAGTGGTGAGGGTTCGAATCTCCACGGGGAGCCCGTTCCAGAGGGTCGGAGCAGCCACAGAGAAGGCTCTCCTCCGGGTAGTCGCCAGTCGGCATTGGCCAGCGGATGGAATTCGGAGGAGGCCTAATCTGTGGGATCTAATCGGTCTATTGGAGGTAATTGGCAGCAGGCGATCTCTCAAGTACCCAGGTCCAATACCATGAAGGGCTTTATAAGTTCCCATCTTTCCCAGAAAACATATTCACAATATGAACATTTCACTGTTCTGTTTCATCAGACTATTTGTCTAATTTATAAACACATTAAAAGAATAATGTTAGTATTTCCTGACTAGTAATAACCCTCCATAACCTGATACATGTACTTTTTAGTTGGAAGTGTGATCAATTTAATTTTTTAAAAGAAAGTTGGTATTTTACCATTGAGCTATATATACATTAATGTATTACACAAGTACCATTAAAAAAATCTTGTTAATATAAACTACAAAATATTGTGAAATTATCTCATGCTTTATCTTGGGTATGTCTAGATAAGAAATCTCTGTATAAATGAAGCCTGGAAAATTGCTGACAGTTTCACTGTACAAAATCTGATAATCAATGACCTGACCTGACCTGTCATATGTTCTTATGTTCCTGTTTTATTATACCACAAAACCATTATTTAATGGCAATATGTGCAAAGTGGATATGTTAATTTTTTATTTGATTCCATATTTTTAGTTGCAAAGTTTTTGACTAAGGGTGTTTCTCAACTGTGGCAATATGGAGATGTGTGGAGTTCCCCCCAGAATTCCCCAGTTAGCAGTCCATCCATTTTCAAATTGTCAGGGTTAATAAACTTTGATGTAGACTAATTCTCACTCTTTTTCTGATATTATGCCAATGATAACACAGCCATCAAGCCTCTCTTAGGCCATCTTCTTGTGCCTAGGCCATCTTCTACAATGTCAGAAATTGTTTCTCAAAGTGTGAAAAAGGCTAAAGTTTAGTGCACACTCTATTGTTGAATCATCTTTATTCATTGGCATAATATAATAATTTGCTTCTGCAAAGATTAAAAGGAATTAGAATGATTAAAAACCAAAAAGTTGAATAGTAGAAACAAAACAAAACTTGGAAAACATTCTTAGATGTGTTTGATCTACATACATATTGACACACAGTTTTCTATTCCAAAGATCCCTTTGGAAACCCTCGTAAATTAATTAGGTCAGCTCTTGGAAACTTCACACCCTTTCTTTTACAATTTTCTTCTCTCTAACATCTCATTGTCCATCATATAATTAGGCTTCCCTAAATGTGATAGCCTCCCTCCTTTGTCCTTGACTCTTTCTCCCTGCAAATATAGAGTTGTACCAGTGTTTGCAAACCAAATATTTTGGCACAAGTAAGAGGGGAAGCCTCCATCTGTTTCAATTCATATTTGTGCTTTTCCAAAGCCACATTCAGTCCCTCTATCCTGTTTCTATGATATCATTTATTTTTCCATTTAAGCCCTTAGGATTTTGTTTCATGCTATATGATTTAGTTAGGAAATACATATTGAATATTATGACTTCATGATACCTTATAACCACTGGGTCTGATTAGAGATGAATGTTACAAAGCTAAATCAGAATGAGGGTACATTTTGCATGTCATCAATTTAAGTGGTGATCAGAAAACACTTTTGCTGTCTCTTACAATATTTTTACAGTTGTTGAATTGTAATGGTGTGTGAACATGTATTTGGGAGACATGGGAGAGAGCTACATGGGGAAAACCATGCAAAAGATTTATCAGCCCATAGAAGAAGAAGGGATGTGAGAAACATTTCCTTTCTTGGTTTTCCACCGAGCAAAAGAAAGGGAGAAATACTTTCAATTAAAATTCCATTATTGTAATAATAATTTAATTTGTCAATAAAGATAGGGTGAGTACCTGGATGTCTAAACTACCTCCAAGGATTAATATGAATTCTAATAATACCTCAGTTTTATTGAAATTCCTGCCTCCTTCTGAGCTGTGTTTGCCAAAGTAAATATTTCATAGATATTGATTGAAAATGATTAATACATTGTTAATATTTGGTTTATAATTTTGTTTCTTATTATAGGTATTATGATTATCCCCTCATTATATTCACATATAAAATGTACTCTTTTTAATCAGGAATTATTCCTCATGGTGATGAACCAAAGTGAATACCATAAACATGAGGCAGGTAGAAATTGAATAAAACTAAGCTGTAATTCTCAAGAGACAATATAATAATTTGCATGTACATCACACCATTAGAAAATAAGGACCAATATTCCAGTGTCTGCTCAAGAGAAGTCTTGGAAAATTGTTTATTTACTACTTTTAACTACATATTTAGTTGCAAATATGATCTATAGAATAGACAACTATTCCTTTATAGCAAATAAATCATCTCTAGCATTCCTAACTAAGAAAGAGAGGAAAGAAACAGTGCTGAATAAGCATCTCTATGAATATGCAAAGATAATTTCAAGAGCAAAGTACACCTGATATAGGATTAATCCTTGAAGATAATACAGATTTCACTGTATTGACACACAGACAAGACAAGGAAGAAGTGAGGGATGAAGTGTCTACACTTTCTTCCTTGGACCCTAGTGACATTATTGACAATTTTTGGGAAAAACTATGGATCTGATTCTGATGAAAAAAATAGACCCAGAAGGAACATTAATCAGGCACAGTGAGTACCATTCTTGACATTTTAATTACAGATTGCTTAAATTCATATAGATACAGAAAAACGTTGTCACAGGAATAGAACAAATTATGTAGCTTCATTAAAGTTTCTTTACAATGTGTTCTTCCCTTTGACATATCAGGCCTCGTATGTCATCCGAAGGGGGCAATTTAGTCTTCCACACTGGCACTGCCAAGAATATTGAGTTCAGAACTGGATCACAAGGCAGAATAAAACTTAATGAAGAAGACCTTGCTGATGTTTTTAATCAGGTAATGATTTGGATCTGTTGTTTACAATGTTATTTATTACTATCTAAATGCAATTCTTCAAAGGGGATTCAGAAAATCAGATTTAAACATGTTGACACATGATTATTTATATACATTCCCATCAATGATATACTGTTTTCTAAAGATATTATCTAAAGAAGTTTTTAATCTGGTCCCAGATTAAATAATTTCGTCCCAAAGTAGGATAATCCATAGATTTTATTTATTTTTATAATTCCTATATTATTTTTCAAAGAATACAGTTACTGAAAGGAGTCCAGTGCATAACGAGAACAATTATTTCAGACATTACATTTCTGTATTTAAAATAGTTATAACCTGCTGTATATCAAATTTCTCAGAATATATTACATTGATAACTAAAGATAATAGCTACAATATCTCCAAACCATATAGATAACAAACATGCAGGATGTTTCCATTGGCAGTAAAATATATTGCCTGCAACAATAAATTGATTGAACAAGACTTTGTTATGAAGTGTCTCAGTTATTTCAAATAATACCCTTCAATGTGGTTTTATTTTGCTTTGACTAAGCCATCACTTTTCTGCTTTGCTTATACTATATCTTTATCTATCTATATCTATCTATCTCTACACACACACACACACACACACACACACACACACACACACACACACACACACACACAAACATACCTGGCTACAGATTCTTGAGGTCCTTTGATATGTGGCAGCCATATCAGTAAGTATCCAGACCACAGATTTGCTCTCTCATATGATACAGTCTTTATACATTTATTAGCCCTGATTACTGTTATTTTGGCAGGCAGCCACAATAGACCAATGCAAGACCAATACTAGGCTCATGAAAATTGTACAGTTTGTATGTCTCATGAATTTTTCAGCATAGGCCAGTGATTAAAAATTGTCATAGAAAGATGAAATAAGGTTTTGTATTTTATTTATTCTTCCAGTCATTGTTACTTTAATTATAGGCCTCTGCTATGTCATTCAATATTTACCATGTTCAGAAATGCAATGCCTAAGTATATGATGACCTAATGCCAGTAGTGGCTGGCCAAGAGTTCATGTTTTTGCTGTGGTAGTTCAACTCCCATTGCAAAACATAACTACCTTCCCAACAAAACACTTGTCAGATTTCAAAAGCCTGCCCAGCTGGGATGCCTGATAGCAGCCACTAGAACAGTGGTTCTCAACCTTCCCAATGCCGTGACCCTTAAAAACAGTTCCTCATGTTGTGGTGACCCCCCCAACCATAAAATTAGGGTCTCGGTTCCTAAGACCATCGAAAATATGTGTTTTCCAATGGTTTTAGGCGGCCCCTGTGAAAGGGTCGTTCGACCCACAAAGGGGTCCCGACCCACATGTTGAGAACCACTGCACTAGAAGGATAAGAAACAGTAGAGGCAATAGCATGGTAGAATTGAAAACAAACTCTTCATAATAGCCTAATTATATTGGGTTTTGAATCAACTATCTGGAGTCTTACGTTTTTTAACTAATGGTGTTTAATACTAAAAAGCATGTTATGAAATCTCCTGACTTGTATGGCAACTCAGAAATGCCTTTATATAGAAATATAGTAAATATATATCCTAGTTTAGAAAAGAGATGCCAGCTATGTTAGAAAAGTCTCTATAGTTGGTAAAACAGCACAAGAAAATCAAAAATTTCCTTCTCCTCCTCCTCTCCCCCACTCCCTCCCAACTGTCTGGATTAGTCCCTGCAGTTTTCTTGGCAAGGTTTTTCAGAAGTGGTTTGTAATTGTCTCCTTCCGAGGGTCAAGAGAGAGTTGATCAGCAGGCTTTGTTTCTAAGGTGTAATTAAAAATCCAGTCTCCTGGATTCTAGCCAAGTGACTTAAGCGTTACACCAATTGGATCTTTGTCTTTTGTTACAATCCAGAAATCTGTAGAATCTTCAGGGACTCTGCCCCCAGGGTGAAGTTACTCAAGAGTTTCTCAGGGTATATATAATCTCTGTTTTAGCCAATGTTAGTGTTACAACCCTTTCTCCCCCCCCCACTCTTTCTCTGAATCATACCCAAATATTGTAAAATAGGGGGATTTTGCAGTATTCCCTTCATTTGAACACCTTAGGGAGTGGGGTAGAGTGCTAGACCTCCTCCTACTGATCTACTTCAATGGAACTATTCCACCTTTCATGCATTTGGTCAGTAGGCCTTTGTATGTGTAGTGATATACGTGTGGCTTAGAGTTTCTCACTCAAGACTGGCAGCTTGATGCCTCATCCATTTTTAATACATGAACTGATCATGTGGGTCTTTCTGCCTGGAGTGGAACTCAATGGAACATTGTTTGCAAATACATCATTCTAAAGAGGACACCTAGCAGAAGCAATCCCTAAAAACAGCAGAGCCTATAAAGAGTAAGAAACAGCGTGTTTCCTTCTTCCTGGACAGAGTTCTCTTCATTCACTGAGAATTATGTTTGCTGAATTTTATAAGCATTTGAGAATTGTTTATTCCTCCTCTTTCTAAATATAGATCCAAAGGAATAAAGATGAAATTGTAGAACTAAAAAGACTCACCAGCATACCTCTCAATGTTTCTAGTGAGATCATCCAGCTTCAATCCCAGGTATTTTTAAAATATCTCTTATGTATCATATTGTTTTCATAGATTTTCACGGGTGTAGGTAATACAAACACGAAGCTGAAAATACCAGCCTGAAGATGGCAAGTGAGACCTCGCCGAAACGTTGGCAAAACAATCTCAATCTTACACGGGAAAAGACCCGAATACAACAAGACCAGCATACCTACATCCGTGAAAATCTACAAATACATACATACATACATACATACATACATACATACATACACACACACGCATACACACACAAACACAAACACAAACACACACACAGTGTTTCCCTGCAAATATGACATGTCCTGAAAATAAGGCCATGCCACATTTTTTGGTGGACAAAAATATAAGCCCCCTCCTGAAAATAAGCCTCCAAGCCACGGGAACTGGGGGGGGGCAAAGGTGCTCACGTTGCTTGGTGCCTTCAGGATACTGTTAGGTCGATGAGTGACACTGGGCCCAGCTGGAGAGGAGGAATGCCAGGCAGCTGCTCTCTTGTGAGCAGGCTCCCTAAGAGCCAGGCACAGCATCAGGGACAAACGGCTCTGTTGCACTGTTGCAGCAGCACAACACAGCAGCCATGAGGTAACCATGCTTATGAACAGCCGCCTGGCAAACCTCCTTTTTAGCCGGACACAGTGCCATTCACTAACCTTGGGGTATTCTGAAGGCACCAAGCTGCAGGAGCTGGGGGTGGGGTACAGGTGCTCACACAGCTTGGTGCCCCTAAGTCAGTGGTGCTCTGCATGGCTAGAGAGGGGAGTTGCACAAGCAGCTGTTCCGCTCCCTGCTTGCGCGCCTCCCAGCCTCACCATGCCCTGACCCAGTTCCCCCTGCAGGGCCAGGGACCACCCCCACCCCCACTGCCCCTGCCATCCCAGCATGGCTTCTTCTGTGGCTTCCAAACCCCAGAGGTAGGCTGCCAAGTCTTCTGGCAATGGCCGCTCTGGGAATATGCTCTATGTGTGACTGGGGAAAGAAAATGCATACACACACCCCTGAAATAAACACTTGGCCTTATTTTTGGGGAGGTCTTATTATTTTTGAGGTGCAGGAGGCAGCAAGCATAGTCACCCCATGGCTACTGCTGTGTTGCAATATTTTCAGGGGGAATTTATTTTCGAGGGAGGAATAATTTTAGCGCATGTGCACAAAAGCCAATTGGGCTTCTTATCCGGGGGAGGTCTTATTTTCAGGAAAGCAGGGTGTGTGTGTGTGTGTGTGTGTGTGTGTGTGTGTGTGTGTGTGTGTGTGTGTGTGTACATACACAGTATATGTATATATGCTTGTTTAATTTGCTGTCCTGCAATCCTGCAAAATAGTTTTTATGTCCTGGTTGAAAATCCTACATTTTATGCCACACAAAGAGTAGCCTATGATATCTATCAATTTATTTATATATATATATATAGAGAGAGATATAGATAGATAGATAGATAGATAGATAGATAGATAGATAGATAGAT